AATCGTCAATTTTACGAACGGAGCACCGGAGGTGCCCCAAAAACCCAGTGGCACCGGAGTGGCACCGTTTTCCGGTGTCACTGGAACCGGACCGTATATATATATATATATATATATATATATATATATATATATATATATATATATATATATATATATATATATATATATATATATATATATATATATATATATATATATATATATATATATATATATATATATATATATATATATATATATATATATATATATATATATATATATAATTTATGTCGACGATCTTGTTATTGTCACTATTGATGAGATTCAATGCATGATTTAAGTTCACATGAAAGATTTGGGACACTTGAAATATTTTTTTGGGATTGAGGTGGCTTGCAACTTTAATGAAATTTTTTACGTTAGAAGAAATATGCCTTGAACATTTTATCTCAATCTAGAATGTTGGGTGATCGTCCAACCACAACACTATTGCCCACGAACCATCATCTCGCCCTAGCCACAATCAACGAGCTATCTCACCCTGAGTGAATTCGTTGTGTGGTTGGACGCCTCATTTGTTTGACGATTACTTGTCTTGATTTAACATTTCCAATCCGTATCATGTCTCATTCATGGGAGCTCCTCACCAAGAACATTGAGAAGCAGTGCAACATGTGCTTTAGTATATCCTTGTCAAGTATTCTTTTTCTCAGCCGCTTGTGATATTACTCTCCCAACCTTTGTGATTCTGATTGGGCTTATTGTCCAATTACTCTTCGTTCAATTGGCTATTTTATAAAAATTGGTGACTCTAATATTTCTTGGAAAAATGAGAAGCAACACACTATCTCGCGCTCCTCTGCTGAAGCCAGATATCGTGTTATCGCCACTACAGTGTGTGAATTAAAATGGCTCAAGTATCTTCTTCTTTCACTCGACATTCGACATCACACCCCTAAGAAGCTATATTGTGACAATCGGGCTACTCTTCATGTTGTTAAGAACACTGTTTTCTATTAACAAACTAAGCACGTAGAGATTGATTGTCATTTTCTTTGTGATGAAATTCAACGTGGGAATCTTCGTACTACTCAAATTGCTTGTGCTAATCAACCTGCCGATAATCTCATTAAGGCTCTAGCTTCCATGCCTTTTGCTCACCAATTGACCAAGCTGGGCACTCGTAATCCCCACGCACTATCTTGAGGGGGTGGGGTGTTACACACCCTTGTTTCTGAGCCGTAAGACAAAGAGTTATATTCCTACTGAAATTCCTTATTATATTTTTTGGTTTTCCTTTTTAAACTTTTGGCAAGATTGGAACTTTACTTAATTTTTTGATCCCTCTTCACATATAAAGTGAGTTTATTCTTTGTATTGAATCAAAACCCTTGAAATATATCGAAATATTTCCCATTATTATTTTGTATAGTATGTATAGCATATACATACACATGATGAATGAAATGCAGAGCATTTCAAAATCATAATAAAATTACAATGTTGTGATACATCCAAAAGACTTAAATGTCATTGCCAATTTGCCACTGGAACAACCGTTTTGTATGCTACTAAGAATTGCTCAAGCCACTTATGTTAGATTTAATAGTGTTGGCAAGAAGTATAAGATTGACAAACAAGCTAAGAAGAAACTGTGAGATTAAGAAATTCAGATGCAGATTTGCCTAAAATGTTGGCAAACTCATTGAAGCTTATGACACCGTCTCCGTTCATGTCTCCCTCCCGCATCATCTCTGTTAGTTCACGGTATGTTAGTGGTTGTCCCATTTTTGCCATATGACCAGCCAGCTCGGCGGCAGTGATGTAACCGCTACCATCTTTATCAAAAGACTGAAAAACTTCCATGAGTTGTTCCTACATGACCCATTCAACAAATTTTAAGTTACCAATTTGAACAAATGCACTATATAAACAAATTACGGCCTAATACTCATTTTAGACATTGTGAGTGCACTCATAAGTCAATTTGGTCGGTATAAATTCGACCGAGTCAAATAGATTCTTGTAAGAAAAACTCGAGTTGTTATTATCTTAAATGATACAAAAGCAAATGCACATGGTCATTTCTTTAGCATCGATTAAGGTGCTAATTAAAAATTTTAACAGGTAAATTTTGTTTGAAGAAATAACTTGATTCATATTTTCTAGTTAAAATGGAAAAATTTGAGTCAGCTGAACTTACAATTCTCGGACTAAATTGACTCGTGAGTGCACTTACTAAGACCAAAATGAGTCTTAGCTCAATCAATAAATCATACAAAAAGTCTATCTATAAATTACACATTGATAAACTGATAAGGAAAATGCTAGAGTCACAAACATATAGTTCACAAACTTCTTTTTTGTAGATTTTAAATTAAAATATCTTTTATTATTTGAGTGCATCTTATTTCTAGAAGAGTGTTAAAAAAGTATGTTTGTTTGTGACTCTAGCATTACTCAACTGATAAATTTTTTTGAACACTAATAACCCTATTATAAGATAGTATCTGCTCATATATTCTCAATCTATTAAAGCTCGTGGAGTTACCACCCACATCGAAGATTGAACACAGGACCTCTCATTTAAAAGTGTGGTTTAAAAAAAAGAATTCTTTTATGGATAGGGAGATGAAATAGAGTAGTCCTCTTGTCTTAAAGACTCTTTATGAGGGATGTTTCAAGAGAAAGAAATAAAAATAAGAGAGAAGATGAGAGAGAGAAGAATTAGTCTTGTGGATGAGCTCTGAACCAGTTTTTTTAGAGTAACTTTGTTAGTCAACAAGTGATCTGATACTATATCAAAGAACCAACTTACCAAAAGTTTAAACTTGTGATTGTAGGACAAGAAAAACTTTTATATTCTAACAAGATGATACATATGGTAGATTAGATTATTTAATTACTTATTTATTTATTAGTTAGTATTTATTATTTAATACTTAATGGAATATAATATTTATTAGGTGAGTAGAATTATAAGCTTCTTTGAGGATTTCTTTTCGATTATTTACCTTGGTGCATTTCTTGAACCGACATGGTTAGGGTTAGGGTTTCACTTTCTCTCTAAATTGAGATGTAGCCTTTTCATTATTATGAATGAAGATTAATATCAAACCCTAGTATCCTTCCCCTCTTTGCCTATCTTTTGTTGGAGCTTGAAGACGCTTGAAATCCTTCCTTATTGTGATACGAATTGTACAAGATTTGTATCAATTGTTTCTTCCATATTCGATATGTTATTCGTATCAAAACCGAACCACGTTAAGAATGCCACTCATACACACACACACACACACACATACATACATACATACATACATACATACATACATATATATATATATATATATATATATATATATATATATATATATATAGACACACACACACATACATATACATATATTTGTGTAGTAAGTCTAATTTAACACGAGTCCTATTGGTGTTAAATTTCGAGACTAGTTTAATTATATCATTGATGCATGGTACCCCATTTATAAAATTAGTAGTTCCTAACTCCCTAACCCACCCCGTAAAATTTCTTATTCCTAACTCTTTAACACATCCCAACAAAATTGATGGTTCCCGCCTAGACACATAATTAAACATACCAACTAGATAGATGTCATGCATGCATACCTTGTTGATCAACACTTGTTTGTTAAGGTCGGGAAGAATAGCACGAACAAGCTCCTCAAACTCAATGGAGCCATTACCATTGGCATCAATGTGGGCGGACAAGGCATGTATTTGATCACCATTATTACTTGACTTCAGGCCAATTGAACGGAGGAGGGCGGCGAGTTCTAATTGCGTCAGGCTCCCGTCTCTATCCAAATCAAATCGCGTGAAGATATCCTTCAGTTCTTTTATTTGATCACATTGAATAATACTTCCCATCTCTCTCTTGGAGGGGAGGAGGATATATGAAGAAAGATCAACAACAATTATTAAGAATAAGAAGATTGAGGTGAAAAATGAATGTTCTCCCGCCCTCCCTTTCCCTCCCCTCTCTCTTGCCTTGTGATCCTTAGCTTCACACATGCATGACACAAACTTGTGGTTTGTTGAAGATGATTATTGTAGGATATGTGTGGTTATGATTTTGTGTTTTGTAGTGGAAGGATGAGAAGCCTTCACCAATATGAGAAATTATAAAGTGAATTTACTTGTTTCAATTTAAACACATACTCCCTCCGTCCCAAAAAGTCTTTCCTGTTTTATTTTTTGCGCATCCCATAAAACACTTCTATCCTGCCTTGAATGCCACAAAAACTTTCAAAATAACTTCTACCCACTATAAAGAAGAAATGTTATACATTTTAGATGCCGGTAGAAGTGTTTTATGAGATGCGCAAAAAATGAAACGAGAAAAACTTTTTGGGACGGAGGGAGTATTAAATTTATGGTACCAAGGGCACAAATATTGTGGTAATTAACAAGGTTTATTTATAACTTAATTTTGGTAAAAAAAATATTTTTTTCGTTAAAGATATTTTTGGTCCCACACATTTATTTTATAAAACAATTCCTTGAAATATTATTTTACAATTGAGCAGACATGATTATTACAAGTCACAAAAGGCAAAAATGTGTTGAGGTTGTAAAACAAAGAAAAGGTGGAAAGAGACACATTTTTTTATTATAAGAAAAGTGAAAACGCTTTATGAATAAATAAAAAGTAAACATGAAACCTTTCTATAGGGTGGACCGACCATTCAAACATAAGCATGGTAGTAAAACTTCAAGTTGCTTTTTAGTTTTGTTTTCATATTTTGGGAAAAAAATCACACCAATACTCCAAGAATTACACGAGTTTATTACATAAATACTTCGAGATTCAATGTCTGACATCAATGCTCACAAAATTTTTCTATACTCACATCGGTGCTTCAAGAAGTGATATGTGTTTACATCAGTGCCCCAACATTATTTGGAGCATAGAAGTAAACTAAAATCAATTCTTGGAGCAACGATGTGAATATAGGAAAATTTTGGGAGCATTCGTGTCATTTAACAAATCTCAGAGTATTTATGTAAACTCGTGTCATTCTAGGAGTATTGGTGTGAATTTTTTTGTATATTTTTAAGTGTTATTAGGCTATCCGTAACACATAACGCTTTTGTAGAGCGTGAGTGTTCATATGTGAGTTGCCAAGTGACCATGATCACAGGCGTAACGAGTACGGCAATTTAGTATTATGTAATAAATTATTTAATTTTTAAAAGAAATCACTCTAAGTAATCAAAATATGAGTTTTTTGTTTTTATCTCTAAAATATGAATTCGCATTGTCGTAAAGTGACACTATATATAGATCTTTCATAATATGTTTTGGTATTGTATATAGTCATTATTGACACTGTATATGCATCTTAAATTCTATTCTGGAAAAAACATGGAACTTCTATTTTATTATATTTTTAATGTTTTACTAGTACTTTAATCTTTTTTCCCTTAATTTAATTTCTCTACTGCAACGTTTAATTTTAAATTATGCTATCATGTTTTTTTTCTTTCACTTCATGTACTTTAATATAAAGTACTTCAAGTATTAATTTAATTATATCACGTACTTTTATTAATTAGTGTGATTAATGAGTTTTAGATTAAATTTTTTGCATCTAATTATTACGGAGTATAATATAAAAAATCCAAAACGGGTAAAAGATTTAATAACAAAAGATAAATTTTAATTATTTTTTATTATGATTTTATAAAAGATACTAGTATCACACTCGTGCGCTGCACGGGTCATACTTACATTACTAAATTAAGATAATTTTTCAATGCTAGAAAATGATATCTACACTACTGTGTCAATTAAGGTAGTAGACTACCGGATCATACCAAATCTTTCTGAAAATTGGTTCATTCGGGGTTTGCTGCTACCATGTTAAAGTAGTATACTTTCGTGTTAAGGTAGTGTAGTACACAATTTTTTCCTCTGTCACTTTGCCAATATCCTTTCCCATTTTGTTTAAAACCCTTTGAATATTTGAAAAAGATTTTTGGATGGTTTTAAACATATTTTGTGATTGCATTATGAGCTTCTGAATATAGACATATAAAATCATATCATTACATTTAATTCTACCTTTATTCTAGAATAAATTCCATAAAAGGTCTCCAGTTATAGGTCGTTTTACAAATTTAGTTCCTACATATCAAATATTGCTAATTTAGTCCCCAATTATTATATTATTTTTCACGAATGGTCCTTTGTTAATATTTTTGTTAATAACATGGATAAAATTGTATATGCATACTTTTCTCTCTCCTCAATTAAGCTCCATTCCTCCTTTCATAGTCTTTCCTAAACTCGTCGCTGAGTTTGAAGCTCAAAACCCAAAACTGAAATGATCACTCATGTCTCAATTATTAGTCTTCATGGTGGAACCTAAAATCAAAACCAATAAGCTTTATGGATGAGTTTTATCGGTTAGTCTCAAGAAATTGCAATGAAAATAAACATTAAAACTCATCAATGAAGGTTACTGGTTTCGAATTTGGGTTCCACCAGTTCGACAAACAATTGAGGAAAGAGTGATGATTTTGGTTTTGGGTTCAAACCTTCAAACTCAGCGACGAGTTTGGGAAAGGAGTGCGAGGGGAGGAAGGAAGCATAATTGAGAAGAGAAAAGAGTGTGAATTTACAATTTTATCCACGTTCTTAACGAAAATGTTAACAAATGACCATTCGTGGAAATGAATATAATAGTTGGAGACTAAATTAGTAATATTTGATATGTAGGGACTAAATATGTAAAACGACCTATAACTGGGGACCTTTTATGGAATTTACTCTTTATTCTATGCTAGTTTAGAGCTTCAACTTTAATTTATTTTTTGAGAATTGATTCTCAATGTATTCTGTTGTACCTGAGACACTCAAACAAATGTTAATACTCCCTCCGTCCACAAATAAACTTTACGTTTACTATTCACAGGGTCAAACTTTATTCACTTTGTTGACCTATTTTCGTCCCCCATTTGATAAAATAATATAGTCATGTCACCTCTAGTTTTGTAGATCTTTTGATATAGTTTTTTAATATGTAATTTTTATTTTTCAATTCTACACCATTTTTCATATAAAATGATTTGAAAATAACTTCAGTCAAACATCGTAACGCTCAACGTAAAGTTTATTTGTGCACAGGGGGAATATATATTATTTGTTAATATAAAAATACAAGATTTTACAAACGAAGACTAACGTAACTCCAAATCTTTTTTCTTTTCTCGCTTGAACAGTAGCAAGGTTATGATGATGGATTATGCTATGTGTACCCCAAGATTTGTACCCCAATTTGTACCCCGCAGTTTTGCACCAATATTTTGTGTTGGTGTAAAACTAATTTTTGTTAAACGCACCAACATTTGTGTCCGTGTGAATTTTTATTAACGCACCAACACTTGTGTCGGTGTAAACCATCGAAATGTTTGTGCAAACCTGTGGTGTACAAATGGGGTATATTTGTTGGGGTAAGTGTAGCATGGTCCTATGATGATTCATCACAAAATCATCATCTTCAGAATTTGAAGAAGTTTACGGTATTTGAAAATGATCCATTTATTTTTTTTGAGAGTAAAAGTTATATTTTTGACAAAAAGAGGTTTGAAATAGGTGTAAAAATATATGTTTTGTGTTTTGTTTGTATACAAAAGTTGTGATACTATTAAGTGTATGTATCATTGATACCATTAATGTTGTATCAATAATCTTCTAATATACCGAGTACAAATCTAAAGGGAAGACATGAACAGTGTTATCTTCATGCCTAAAGTATTCGAACACAATTTGAACATTGAGTTCTCGTATCGGATTGGACAAAGAGGAAAATTGATCCAATTGTGCAAATAGGTTTTTGGTTGGGCTAATGGGTCTTTGGTACCCGTTAAGACATTAAAATCATGTTTTGGGATATGTATTTTGACGACTTCTCTTTCACTTTAATCAAGACACTTTATTACCTAGAGCTTATAAATATTGATTAAAGCAATGTAGCTGTAAATTATGAGTTCTCTTACCTAGAGTATCGAACCCTTCATATCAATTAAACATTGGTTGACGCAATAAATATTTAATGTATGTAATAGATGAAATACATTGGAAAACGTGGGTATTGAGCCACGAACTATTTAATACAAATTGTGAATTTAATTTAAAAAAAGGAATAATTCAAAAATATTTTTTGAAATTATACTAATTTGTTGTGGTTCTATTACTTAAATATTTTGATTTAGAAGAATAGAAGTTTCCTTCTATTTTGATTTAAATACTATTTTTTTTAAAAAGAAAATGTATTGATACCTAGAGCATATAAATTTTGATTAAAGTAATTAATAGTTGTAAACTACGAGTTGTCATACATAGAGCCACAAACCAATCCAAGGAATTAAACATTGGTTAACGAAATAAACATTTAATGTATGTACTAAATAAAATATATTGGAAAACGTGAGTCTTGAGCCACACACCATTTAATGCAAACCATTTTGGATATGACTGAAATATTTTGATCCAAAAGAAAAGAATAGTATTTCTATTTTGATTTAACTTTCTAAAAAAATTCCTTTAAATAGTTTTGGGAAGGATACTTTTATTAAAATAAAAGCTTTTAATTTCTATCGATTCAATGTTAACTATACCTTATAAATATTGATCAAAGCAATTAAAAGCTGTAAACTACAAGTCGTTATACATAGAGCCATGGACCAATGCAACCAGTTATACATTGGTTAACGCAATAATGGTCTGCACTAAATGAATGTAATAGATGAAATACATTAGAAAATGTGGGTCTTGAGCCATGAACCATTTAATGCAAAGTATGAAGTTATTTAAAAATGAATGAATAATTCAAAATCATCTTTATCTTTATATATACAAAGCTAATGTGTAAAAGATGAACAGTCAAAATTCCCGCCTAAATGTTATGATGAGCTCAAGTGGGAAATGCGCTAGAGAAATGGGGGAACGGGCCTGATGGGAGTGTGGGAAGGTCACTTTATAGAGAAATGTGATATTAATTACTTTGCATGGGAGAGTGTGTGATGGCGGCTTGATTTTGGTGAGTGTGTTTATTAATGGGGAAGAGAAAAGGGTGAGTGGGGGGAGGATCACTTTATAGAAAAATGTGATATTAATTACTTTGCATGAGAGAGTGTGTGATGGCGGCTTGGCTTCGATGAGTGTGTTTATTAATGGGGAAAAGAAAGGGGTGATGCTGGCCGAAAAATGGAAAAAGCAGCTTCTTTTGCATTTTTTTGTTCTTTGGTGTTTGTTTCTTCTTCATTTTTCAATTTTCTCTTTGCTCCTTCTTCACTTTTATTCTTTGTTTTTTTATTTTTAGTTTTAAATTTCTTAAAGATTCTTTTGTACATTTTTTTTTATTTTTAAGTTTTTTAATTTTTAATTATTTTTCAAGATGTCCTTTGACATAACAAAATGATTTCCTTAAAATTTGTACTAAATTAATTATATTTTATACAAATTCAAATAATTAGATGTCATGTTAATTTTATATTTAGTTCTATTTGAATATAAATTTACGCATTGATTCTATTAAATTTGTATTCTTTATATTTTAGATAATTGATTTGCACGGGTACAAAATCTAATAAAGACAAAAGAGAGATGTAGTATGATTCACAAATAACAACACTCTTACCAATTGAGTTTGGTACCAAAGAAATTGGGTGGTGCTACCCTCTAGATCAAATTGCCCCATAGGGTAATTTTGGCACAAAGTTTCATTTATTGCATCCATTTCGTTCACCCTTACAAAAAAGAAACTAACGGAACGGAGTGTATTCAATTCAGATTTTTAAAGATTCTGACAGATTATTTTGAATCCATGGATTCTGTAAAGTCAATGGATTATTTAAAATCTATACAGAGTTAGATAGATTTTAGTGTATTTTGTTAGCAGGATTTTGTAAGATTGTAATAGATTGTTTATTATCATTTATCAATGGATTATTTATATATACATTTGAGTTATTTTAAAAATCTATACATTGTACTAACATTGATTATTACTTATGATATTGACCAAAAATTCTAAAAATAACATTGTAAAATAAATATAAATTATTTTTCAAACATTATTATTATTATTATAAGCTCAACACCAACATATAATTAACAAAAATTTATGAAACATGATGATGACAAAACAAATCATAAAGAAAAATAACGGATCCGGAATGAAGCTCAAGAGATCATTAACACATGAGATCACAAAATCAAAGAAAAAACGGATAAAATTACAAGAAGCCGGGATGGCAAGGATACGACAACAAAAAATAATAAAATACAAAATATAGAATTGTAAACGTGAAAAGAATACTTAATTAGCAAAATGGTGATTTAGTAAATACTTGTTCTATTAACTTGGAAACCCTCCTGTTGAGAATCCATGTTTAGAAAAGATAAGTGTTCAAAGTTTAACAAAAAATAATTCAAAATCATATTCTTAAAGTTGGCCTACAGAACAAAAATCAACAAATTATTGTTTAAGAATGGTAAAGTGTTGAAAAACAAAATCATGTTGTACGATAGTACCAATATGATTAGCCGAAGGAAGTAGCACAACAATTGCAATTTGCAAATCGCAGGTCCAAGGAGAAGATCGATTCTCTGATACGATTTCTCCAAACAGTGTATAATTTATAGTATAAAATAGGTTTCCTAATTTCTATCGAAGTATTTAAAATAGGTTTCCTAATTTCTATATTTCTGAAAAATCAAAGGCTTGAGATTGGAGGAGGAGGAAGAATAAGATGGAGATGAAAGTCGAAGAAGATGAAGCGGGGAACCCGTTCCTGCGGTGGAAGAAGAGAATAGGAGAGTTCGCAAAATCCAGGGTCATTTGATTGGATTTGGAAGTTGGATTTGAAGGCATAACAATCCATCAAAATCCACATTTTGTAAGATCTTTAAAAATCTATCAATTTTTGAATACCATCATATTTAGAAAGATTTTTTAAAGTTTGAATTGAATATACCCAGATTTTAAATGACTTTTTAAATTCTGAATTGAATACCTACGGAATTTCAAAATCCAAAAAAATCTATCAGAATCCGGATTGAATACACCTCCCTAAGTAAAATGATACTACATAGTTTGGGGGCGGTTCATGTGACATTGACGAATGAGATGACTCGGGGGTTGTACAATGCCCTGTTCGTAAAATTGACAATTCTTACTCCTCCAAAACACCCCACTCCGGTCGACCCGAACCCACTCTCACCCCTTTAATTGCATCATTCAAATTTATTTGACTTTCGAGTTAAAAAAATTAGTAAATGAAAAAATAATTTTTAGATGAAGAATGTAGAAAACGTGGAGTGTTTTTTTAAAACTAGTTTGAACTTTGAAGTGTCTTTTAACTTACCGTATGGCACTTAGAGCATAAACCAATTAGAACGTGCGGTGTATCCTAGCAATGGGCTGATGGGGAGCCAAATGAGTCAGTTTCGAAACGCAAAGCAAAGGGACAATTTGGTTTTTTAAAAATATATAAACCTAAATATCACTTCAGTGTTCAGACGCATCAGTGCCGTAAGGCCCACAGCCTCTCCGCCGACCGGCCGCTGAATCGGAGCTCTCTGCCGGTCCGCTCCCGCCGTACGCGCGCTCAGGTCTCCGACTCCAAAACCTAATTATTTTATACAATAGTCAGGTTCTCATATTTTTATATTAAAGTTGGTATATGGAATTCAAACTATAGAATTAGAATTGGGGACAACAATTCTATTTTTGCTGTTTGGTAGTACAAAAATATGTCGACTTGGGATTGGTGGTTCCAAAAATGAATTGGAATTGTAGAGATCAATTCCTATTAAATCAATTTAATAGAATATAATTTCCAATTCAATTCCAATTCTGTCAATTCCGTGTACACAGTATTGACAAGATTTGAAATTGAATTAAAATTAAAATTCTGTAGAATTGAATTCGATAGAATTGAATTCTCAAATTCCAATTCATTTTTTGTACTACAAATTCCAAATTCACATATTCTCGTGTTACCAAACACCAAAATTGGAGTTGAAGTCCCTAATTCCAATTCCACGACTTGAATTCTGTGTACCAAACGGAGCATAAGATTTTGTTTTTTCTATTAAATTAAGGTAACTGATTTCCCTGTTTGAATACTTCCACTGTTGTCTTTCATTGGACCTAAATGAAAACTCTAGGAAAATGAAGAGGTTTAATATGTTATCTCCATGATATAGCCATTGGTTTCTAGCATGCAACAACAATGATTTTTAAGTTGTGTAAAATTAATATGATTGGCCTTTAAATTGGGAGTAAGCATCATATTACAATGAAGTCATTGCGCAGTTGCGCCGTATCATGTATCATATTCACAATGAGAGCGTTCGTGTATAAATCACCTTTGACCACTTCGTGCCAAGTTTTCTTTGGTCTACCCCTTCATATGACCACATGTCTATTTTCCCATTTGGTCCGCCCTTCTTAGTGCAAAATATCTACTCGTCTTCTTCCCACATGTCCAAACGACCTTGGACGAGCTTCCACCATCTTTTCAATAATAGGTATTATTCAAACTTTCTCTCTGATATCTTTATTTCTTATTCTATCCATATGCGTATGACCACAATGTTTTAAATCTTTTTAGTGTTTTTGTTTTAGTTTTTTACACTTCTTATGTGAGGTAAGTTTGCATATCCCAAAATAAGTTATAGCGTTGTGGGAGGCACTTCACATTTTCGAATGATTGAAGCAAGTTACTTTGTTTTTAATATTCTTTTGTTATTTGAATGCCATTTATTTGTATTTTATTGTTGTTTTGTATTGCATTCAGGTTACATTGGTGAGTTCTGTGAGAGTGTAGTCTGCCTTGAAATAACACAATCAATTTGGAGGCACAGTATGAGCTTGAAAAAATGCCTGCAATATTAGTACTGCATGTGTTGTTTATTTTTCTATGTATTCCTAGATATTTTTTTCTCGAGTAGGGGCAATGTCTATGTACACACACCCTCACTAGACCCTATATTTGTGGGATTTTGCTGGGTTATTGTACTCAATATTTTTTCTTCATACGTCTTGAACTGACGCTATTGTGTTCACACACATTAATACCTTTATTCAGTCTAGGTTCAAAAGAAACCTGCTCACATAAGTCCATCCCTCTATTTGTTTGACAAATGTAGTAAATAAATCCCTTCAACCTTTTTAGCAAGCATTTTACAATTATATGCCAATGCCACAATTGTTACAAACACCAACTCCAAACATATACTCACACGTCTAAAAAAGAATTACACTCTTCACTTTTCAAAAGTCACGAAAGCGTTTGTTTATTTTTGCATTTTGATTTATTATTTGATAAGATAAAATATTCTTGTTATCTCTTGTTTTTTTGAACTTTTGACATAGGTTTTAAATATGTAAATTTTATTTTTAATTTCTATACCAATCTTCAAATAAAATGGATTTAAAAAACTTAAAATTTTGCTTCGTTTGGGAAGTATTAATTAATCCAGAAGGAATATGATTATAAGGATTATAGTGCAATAAACATAATCATGCTATGTGCATATTTTATTGTTACAAAAAGACAACAAATTTAAAACTTGTTTTCATATGTTTTCTTAGCATGTTCTATATATGCCAATTCACATTACACCTAGTTACTTTTTAAGAGACTAAAACCCAAAAGATACCAAGTTGAGTGCAACAAATATTTTGAAAACGTTGTCAAAGATTCTATAATTCTTGCGTACACCCACTTTAATCACTACCAATTGTTCAAACAAACAGATCCTGCAGTAATTTTACCACCTACAAAAACACACATTTACAGATTTACTATTTATTCCACTGTTAGAATGTGCGCTCAACTCTGGAGGGAGGTGAATAGATTTGTGAAGAATGTTGTAAAATTTTCAGAGAACAAAAACTGCAAGAATAAATAATATGCGGAAAGTAGAGAAACGAAGAACGGGCATGGAATTTAATCCTGGTTCACCTCAGTTTGTGACTAATCTCGTTTCTGAGTGACTTACTTGAGATTCTACTAATTGCCTAGCATATGGGTGCTTGAAAAACCATTTACAACCGAGACTTGAGTCCCACAAGTCTCAAGCTCTTAAGGTGCCCCGCCCTAAGACACACCACCATGATTATGAGTTCTTGGCAACCATTACACTACTAAGGAATCCTCACCTAAGATTTCTTACCCTACAACGGATACCACTTCTTCATCAACAGCACAAGAAGATATAATCTTCTTAAACTCTCTCTCGGGCGAACTCTCAACAAGAGTGAATGAAGAGGTACATAGCATGCCCTATAAATAACACTTAGTACCTCTGTTATTACGATGTAGCCTAGGCGCCGACTAGGCATCCAGGCGATAGAAGAGGGTCGCCATGGTTGTTCGCCTCACCATATCAGTCCTGGCATTGCCTTAGCGTCGTTTAAGCGTCTAGGCACTTGAAGATGATGCCAAATCCGTTTGACCTCTGGTCAATTGTTTAAGTCGTCAAATGTTTTACGATTAAAAGAGGGACTAACCCTAGCTGCTAAGTATTAATAAGACATTAAGACGACGTTCGGTCCCATTTAAAAGAGGCACTGCCATTCTGCCACTAACCCTAAAGTCAGTCGAGTGAGGAAGACTAGACGTGATCAAGGAAGAGACTTTAACTCTTTGATATTTGAGGATTTCCAGTGGAATAATGAATGGGTAACCAATGATGTCGTTCATCCTGGATGTGATCTTTTGTGGACACAAGTTGATGAAGCTTTGGGTGCTTCTACCAATCTTGAAGGACGTAATATTACTAAGAGAGCACGTGCTAATGATGTTACAACTTCAGCAACTCCACATGTTGCAACATATCAGCGCCAAAGAAAGTCTACTCTATGTTCAAGGTTGAACAATGAGGAATTACAAGATGAAGAAGTAGATAACTTTCCACATGATGATGATGTTGAGGATGACTTTGGACAGCAGCCACCAACTCCACCTCGTAACATGGCTGATAATGAGGGAATTGAGAGCCTTTACGATGATAGTTTTCTTGACTCTTGAATCTTGATAGTAGATATCTGATTTTTAAAATGTGTTTTATTTTGTTTAAATAACTCTAGATATTTGAGTTTTGACACTATGTGTGTGTTTTATTTTGTTTAAATAACTATTAAACAATGACTCTGAACTTTTTAATTTGTAAATTATATTATGTATTATCATTCTGAATTAGAGTGTTTTAAATTCTAAGTGGTCACCAAATTGTTGCCTAGGCATCCGCCTAGTCGACTAGGCACCCTGTCAACCCACTAGCGCCGCGCCTCGCCTTGGCATCATGATAACTATTCTTAGTACTTTGATATGGCTCAACAAAAGCAAGCATGATAAAATGTAGAGCAAGAGCTATAAATGGGGATACAAAGTCATTAAGAAAAACAAAGTGAAAAGACCCCTATTTATAGCTAAAAGTGTTTGAGCCGTTGGGGAATAGTTTAGGAAAGAATCAATCAAAACTCTATTAGCTGGGTGTAGATTTTGCATATTAAAATCAATATCACCATTAGGCAATCGATTTTCTATTCAAAGTTATGCCCGTTATGCTTCAACATAAACAATGACAATCGGTTATTTCCAAGTGGCAATCAATTGTCTCTTTGAATTTTATCCGTTGTAGCCTTATGGTCTTTCTGGCAATAAATTGTCATTTCGTTCTACCAAAAAACTTTCTAAACACCAGAGGTGACAACCGGTGGTCTCTGTGACAATTAATTTTCAATCCCAACTGTCAAAAATCAGTGACAATCAATTGTTATACCAAGTCAATCAATTGTTATACCAAATCTACCGATTGTTTGGCACGAAATCCAGCAAATGTGAAAAATAGTTCTGAAAAATAACTCCCACAACCAAAAAATAAAACAAACAATTCTGGAGAGGTGTTTCGGCTTGGAACAAATTTAAATAGTCCAAACATAAGTTTGAACATAGAATAAATAAATCCGTTTGATGAAAAGAACTGTTGAGCCAAAGAGAGTTAAACATGTTATTCTTACAAAAGAATTTTACTTAAATACTGCCTTCGTCCCAATTACTTTTTTCACTTTGCTTCTGGCACAAAGACCAATGGGGGGATAAAAAGACCGAATTGCCCTTGGATAACTAAGTTGGGAGTGTTAAGTTTGAAAAGGTACGGGTAAAATAGTAATGTTAGTATACATTTCTTTACCATATACAGAAAGTGGACAAACTGTAAGCACTGAAGCACATCATATCGAAGGCATTTTTTTCCATCAAAGAAAGTTACTGTGTGAATGCCAAGTTTTGTTCTCCATTCTAGGCTAGTTAGCAGTGCAGTAAGAGAGGCATAAGCTTCCTAATGTCTTCCTCATTGTCAACCTTCCACTTTCTGTATTAAGTTTTTATTCATCAAGGACAAAAAAGTTTTCATAGTCATTCCAAACAACGTTATTCAATTCAGTTGTACTGTTTATTAATTATTGTGCATTCCAAACTTAAGAATATCCTTAAAATTCAATGACAGCCAGTCAAAACCGTGCAAAGGAACAGGGTCCCCCAAATTGGAGGTGCCCATTGTAAAAAAATTGTAATAATAAGCCCATTATGCCTGCTCCCTTAAGTAATTTGGAGTAGTAAAAACCAAAAGAGTGATGCAAATGTTAAAAATGAAAGAGAGGAAGAGACTGCAGGAGACCAAAAAAGAAGAAATTGAAACAATGATTCTCTTCACAGTGATTCTCTAATAATCTCTTTATCTTGATTTTCATAGTGTAATTTTTTATCATTCTTGATTACTGTTTTTTTTTCATTTTGCAAGAGAAAAATTAGAGATTTATAGTTATTGGTTTATTGTCTTATTAAAATGCTTTAATGTGAAATTTAAAACTTAAGGTTAGGATTTGAGTGCATGTAAAGATAGAAATTACGGAGTAGCATTTATTTTTCATTTTTCAATTAGGTTTAGGCCGTGTTTGGAAAACAGCATTTGGGATAGCTTTTGGCATCTTTGACTGACTTTGGCTTTTTTGACCAAGCGAACCGCCAAAACCATTGTTTGGCTAATGGCTTTTTCACTTGGCATTTTGATCCGAAAAGCCAAAATCTGAAATGCCAAGGTGAGTAGCATTTGGACTTGGCGGTTAGGAAAAATATATTTTTTAAAATCATTTTTGTTGAAAGATATTTTATAATATATGTAAAAAATAAAAGTTAAAAAATTAAATACGAAAAAATAAAATGAAATTAAAAAAAATTATATTTATAATTCATTATAAAATTTATATTTATAATTTATTATGAATTAAATGAAATTAAAATTTAATATTCCATATAGTAAAGATTTAATTTTTACATGTCAAAAAATGAAAAATAAATATCATGTCTATATATATATATATAATTTTTTATTTAATTTTTTAAATTTTAAAAAAATATATTTATGATATGATATTTAAAAAAATTGTAAAATAAAATATACCATAAATGGAGGGATGTCCTTTTATGTAATTTTATTTACAAACAGCTAACTATAAACAGCTAAAGTTGCCAAACACTTAAAATTTAACTGCTAACAGAAACAGCCGGTCAAAACAGCTAACTCAATCAACCATTCAAATCAGCTAACATAAACAGCCAACAACCATCTGCCAACTGCTAGTATCCAAACAAGGCCTTAATTTAAGATTTTTAGGCATAATATCCAAAAATTAAGTCTCTATAATAATTTAAAGTAAGAATGGTGATTTTGACTTGAAGTGTGCAAGACAAATGTCTAAATAAACTTTGCATTGTATACTTTTAAGAACATTCCTTTTTATGATAGAACAGTTCAACATTCTCTGTATGTTTTTAATCAATGCGGAGTAATTGGTATTTTAGTTATTTTTTTGAAGTATTTGGATTGTCCAAAGTTATCTTATGCACAGGGACCTATATTTATTAGGTCTGGCCCTGTTCAATGTAACTCAATTCTCTAATCTGTTTGTTTCAAAACAGTCCATATAGAAAACCTGGTATAAAAAAGATCAACAGACAACAATTGATCATATACTTGATGAATCCTCACAACTATCTCCATCAAACACGAATCATAGAAGACGTTGCTGCCTTTTCCCGCTGATTGCCAACCGTCATCATCAAACAACATCAACAAAACCAGCTGCGTTCCAACTGAGGTTTGGTTGGCGTTCGCTGCAGTGCTGCCAGTCTCTCGCGGCAGCACCGTCAGTATTAGCATACTACTTAGTACTTACATAGCTGTCTGATTTATGTCGACTGGGGGAAGACACATCAGCAACACTTTAGAAGTTTCCTCTACACTCAAGCTATTTTACAAGTTGTCTCTCTACTCTGTTTTTTCAAATAAAAATGTCTCAGATAATAATCTGATTGTAATACTCCCTGTGTACCGTTTACTCCGAGCTCCAATTTCTTCTCTTAAGTGAGACGTATGTTGCAGCTGCACATATTCTTCAAAGGAGACGCCCCTGTCTCCATTCAAGTGATTCAACTTAGAGTGAGACAGCACATGTGAATCAATTAATCAAATCAGCCTGCCACTGAAATTCTTACGGAGTACTATAATTTATAGTGTGAAATGTTTAGCTTTTGTTTTACAAAATTTGTGAATTCTTACATATACATACACTGGTACACCCTTGTTCATATACACACATGATTCCATACACATATCATACCTTCTACAAGGATGAGTAGAATATTTGTAATTTTGTATCCGACTATGTTATTCACATTTTCCAGCTTGTGTGGACGGGAAATCTTAATTTGTTCATTCCAGTATCCCTTAGTACCATATTATGCATAATATTCGAATGACTATTTGTTTTTGTTTAGGAAAGTTTCGATGGACTATTTAGATGACTTATTTGATGAGGGTGCACCAAAACCTGGTCAGTGTTTAAAGCTTGCTTCTTTTCACTTTCATTTCTTTAACAATTTGGGTTGAATACAAAGTTTTCATTATTTTTTGCTTGTGATTGTATGAATGTAGCAAGAAGGATTGGCAGGTTTAAACCTAAGGCAAGGGCTCCTCCAGTAAAAACAGGGCCTGTTTCTGCACGTTCTCCACCCTCATCACAGACCATCCAGTTAGATAACGATGCTGGTAAATATGGAAGCACTGGTGTTCCCAAGGATGGACAGCCATCGGCTAAAGGTACAACAACAACCCAATAAAATTCCACAATTGAGGGTGTGTGTGTGCCAGTTACCCCTACCCTAAAAGATAGAGAGGCTTATAAATTTACTATTGAATTGCCTTTCAGTATACTGTGTGTTTGTGTTTTCCAGAAAAAAATATTTCAGTCTTTTTTAGAAATAACCCACACTTTTGATTCAGTTCAAACCAATTATACCGCCTGGAAGTAACATGATTCCCTGCTTTTGTTAACATCCTGTTTTGCCATTTTCTATTGTTTGGTATGTGCTTACAGATGTTGCAAAGTGTGTTGGACCTGTGGAGTCCTCTACTAAACATATGGAGGGAACAATGATCTTGCCAGAAAAAAATATATGCTCAGAGAAATCAGTAGGAGAGGTAAATGTTTTCTTCCCTTGATCATTGCACTGGTTTGGTGGCTTGCTGCATTATGTTTTTCTTTTATTAATATTTTCCAGATTGCTAATATACTACCCAGGTTGGAATCCGTTGGTTTTTCTACAGACAGTGCAAACGCTCCAGGTGAGGAATCATTTAGTTGAATCACTCACATGATATTTCTTTCTTCTACTTTTGATTAAAGATGGTTGATAGTTCTTATTGGAGCAAATTATATTTATCTCTTTAGTGCGTATATCAATGTTTAGCTACGGGGTGAACACTTATCTTCCCCTTATAATAGAATCTATATTGGGACCTTTTATGTAACAAAGCTAAAGTCTAAGGCAATATGCTTTTACAAACATTATGCAAATATGGGCTTAAGTGGCATGATATTCTTTCACTTTTGCCGTATTACATTGGCTACTACTAAGGCTGGGTGTAGGATTCCTTTTTCCCTTTTGCTGACAAGATTTTGTGCTTCAAATAATTATATAGATAGTTCCATTCCGTCTTCAGAGGCACCAAATATCCCTGATGTTGATAACTCTGAACATTCTGCTGCTCAAGATACATTCATTTCTTGTGGAGAACCTGCTGTTGCTACTTGTGAGGGACTCTCTCAGATTGATTGTATAGATCGAGGAACAGAGGTGAATATCCAAATTCCCTGGATGTAAAAACTGTTAGCATTTTAGTACTTTCTTTAGTCTTTCACTTTAATAATTCGAGCTTTAATTTGATGATAGCAGAAAATGGAGACATATCCTTGCCTGGAAACTTCAGATGAGCTCGAGCAAACTGCTCTCTCTGGTAGGATTTTTCCACAAAAATCCTTTTTGGGCTCTTTCTTTTATTGGCTCACTTAGGGTTCTTTTGGAATTTTCAAAATGTCCGGCAAAGAAAATAAAAAGGGAAACTTGGAAGGAGAGAAAATTTCAGGGAATTAAAAAAAGTGGCTCAAATTTATTATATCAATTTATGATATTTGTTCAAAGTTACTTTATTAAAAGCTCTAGTATTTTCATAGGTGAAACCAAGCATAAAACAATGATGTTCATTGTCCTTTTATTTTCTTTTCCTACCATTTTCCAGTTCGAAGTATAGTAATCGAAATTTACAAAGACTTAAATCTAGTGATTTTATGTAGACAAGCGTACAGGAAAATTTCGACCAAAGCCCAAGTTACAAGTGGTTGCTAAGGACTGCAATATTGGTGTTCCTAATTCCAATGCAAAAGATTCAGAGTTTACTGACTATGTGGGCAAAGAAAGACTTCCTACATGTGACAACGACGACAATGATGTTAACGATGTCTCACCTTCAGGATTTGGTGATGCTGCTCCCATGCAATATGCAGCTGAAATTCCAGCAAACGAGGAGATGCCAAATGCTGATTTTCCATCTGGCAGCCCCAGTATAAATGAGGATGAGCCCATTGATGAGGAATTTCAGGTGGAAGATGAATCCCGAAAGAAAAGAGCACAAAAACAATCAAAGAAACAGGTGGAAAGTGCAGATTTTCCATCTGGCAGCCCCAAAATAAATGAGGATGAGCACGTTGATGAGGAATTTCAGGTGGAAAATGAATCCCAAAAGAAGAAAGCACGAAAACAATCAAAGAAACAGGTTGAAAATGCTGATTTTCCATCTGGCAGCCCCAGAATAAATGAGGATGATCACGTTGATGAGGAATTTCAGGTGGAAAATGAATCCCGAAAGAAAAGAGCACGAAAACAATCAAAGAAACAGGTGGAAAATGCTGATTTTCCATCTGGCAGCCCCAAAATAGATGAGGATGAGCACATTGATGAGGAAATTCAGGTGGAAAATGAATCCCAAAAGAAAAGAGCACGGAAACAATCAAAGAAAAAGACTGACAATGAAGAAGATCAAGAAAATCCTAGTGTAAAGCGTAAAAAAACTAAAGATAAAACAGAAAAGGTTACCAAAGAGAAACCCAAAAAGTTTGCTCACACAACTCGGCAAAAGAGGAGAACTCGTAAGACTACAATACTTTTTCTTTTCTGAATAAGATGTGATTTGTATATTATTGACCAAGATTATTTAGTTTTTCAGTGGACAAGGTTTTATTGGAAACTCCAGAGGATGAAATTGATTTTCGAAGAGTGCCTATTAAGGATTTAATTTTGCTTGCAGAGCACAAGGAGCGTCTGGCGGTATTTTTTTTTTTTTTTGCTTATTGCCTTGTCTAGGTCTTTCTCAATCATTTGGTTATTGTTTTAATAACCTTTCCACACCTCCCTAGTGGCCCATTGAATTATAAACTAATAATGGCTGTCAGTTGTCTCAGTTCATTTATGGAACTTAAAATGGATAAAGTTTGAGTTTGCCAAAGAAAATTGTTTTTTTTTGCAGAAAAATACCCCGGCAACAGCATCACAGATCCCACAAGTGAACCCGAGGTATGANGTCTGGCGGTAATTTTTTTTTTTTTTTGCTTATTGCCTTGTCTAGGTCTTTCTCAATCATTTGGTTATTGTTTTAATAACCTTTCCACACCTCCCTAGTGGCCCATTGAATTATAAACTAATAATGGCTGTCAGTTGTCTCAGTTCATTTATGGAACTTAAAATGGATAAAGTTTGAGTTTGCCAAAGAAAATTGTTTTTTTTTGCAGAAAAATACCCCGGCAACAGCATCACAGATCCCACAAGTGAACCCGAGGTATGACAATTTGCAACTTTTGGGGATATTGCGAGTTTCTTGGTTTTATTTCCTTCCAACGTTTTCATTCAACCCGATATCATTGTTTGACTAAACCTACTGAGATTTCTGACATGATAAATCCTATTCATGAGTTTTAAGGAGTTCCCAGTTTCTAACTTTCCATCAGGGCATCAGTCCTATTGCCTGAGTATAAATTTACATAGTTTTATGTGGTTTTCCCCTCTGAACAAAAAGATCCTGTTCTGCTGCAATTTCTATATCCTACAATTCGAAATACTCCGTACTATGAGTAATATTAATGACATGATTCTGAATATATAGTTTGATCTCAGCAGTGTTAGTATTAATTTTTCTGAAATGAACATTGAAGGGTTGAAGAGGAGGATACATTTTCGTTTCGTGAAGATGATGATGCAGAAGCTTTTGGGGAGCAAGCAACTGAGGTGGAGGATAGTACCATCTACTTTAATAATCAAACCTACATGGAAAGAACACCCAGAGTCCGATGGTCAAAAGAGGACACTGAACTGTTCTATGAGGTAGTATAATATCCCTCTACTTCTCATCTGGTTTTCTTAACTGGAGATAACAGTCATTTATGTTACTCCATCCATCCTACAAAGATCAACTATCATTTTCCATTCAAATTCAGAAATAATAGTTAAGGTAGTTGTTAAATTTACTCTCTGTACAGTTAGCAATTTCTTATGTGGGACGAGTATTTAATTTTGTGGTTGCCATTACTTAGGAGTAAACCTGGAAACGGAAAATTAGACGCATCATGTATACCCAAAAAAGAAACTGGACTACTTTTTTGTGCAGACCACAGTGGTGGAATATTTTTGTGAGACAAGAAGGGTATATAACTGTTATCATGTTAACAGAAGATCGCTAAGCGGGGATGCTTTGTGCACTGAGCTGCCTTTTTTAACCGGGAGAATTTAGAATAATAAGGCCCTATATAGTTATATGTTGTGCATTACCAATTACTGGAGAATGATACTTAGTCAGATGAACTTTGTAGTGGAGTGGAATAAGATGATTGCATATGTGTCATATGATATTCAAATGCTTGTGAGGGGATTCTGTCTGCTTCCTAGTTTCTACATTAGAATTTATAAATATGTTTCTTTACTTTTGTAATAGTTGCATGTGACTTTGGCATTTTGTCAATCAAGTAAGATCCACCCAGGCTATGACTTCATGAGATTTAACGGGCTGTAAACAATTGCTTCGCTACAAATCTGTTTCATCTGCAGGCCATTCGGCAAGTTGGCTCAAATTTTTCCATGATACAACAACTCTTTCCTGGGCGGACACGCACACAGATAAGGCTGAAGTATAAAAAAGAAGAGCAGCAGCATCCATCCAGAATTCTTGACGCTCTAACTACTCGTGCCAATGGTAAGCTTTTTATAATAATGGTCTCTAGTCCTCGTTATAGTGATTATAATATATTTGTCAAGGGCAAGCTTTCTCTCACTTTCGGCATCCACTTCTAAGTTTCTGGTTAGTAAAAGGAAAATCAATTTGAAAACAGATGTTCCTTGACATTTTGGGCACTAGTTCTATGATACTTTTTGCAATCATGAACATTTCTTGTCACTGATCTGATTGACCCTTGTTGGTGGGAGAAAGAAAATACAAGCCGTTATGGTGTCGAGGCGAGGGGGGTGGGGTGGGGTGGGGGGTACCGTTAGCGTAATATTGCTATTAGTGAATGATTAATTAATGCAAGCTCTAACTGACAACAACCATTGTCATGTAGATCACTCCCACTTAGAGCAAATAATTAAGCGCTTGAAGGAAATGGCAGCCGAGGAAAACCAAAATGGCGAGGACTTTGATGCTTCGGTTGACTTGGCAGGCGAAGAAGAGGTTGGAATTTTACTCCTCACCAATTTAGATCCACACATTTTATCATCTCTTGCATGAGAAACTTCTCTTCTGTTTTTTTTTGGATCCCCAAGCTTTTAACATGCAATTGGTCAAAGAGTTCACTTGTTTGCTTTACTGGTCAGGGAGAAAAGGAAGAACCAGAGGTGGAGAATAATGAGGAAAATGAAGTCCCAGATACGGTGCCAGACGTTGTTACAGAAGATCAAACTTGTGTGGATGATGAGGAAGAGGTCGAGGAAGAAGATACAGAGGAAGAATACACATGTTTTTATTGATTAACCCAAATTTCCACAACCCTTGGCTGGCTGCTTTTTTGCAGTTCAAAAATGAATTCAAGCCAAACCCCAAAAGGCCATTTTCTGTGGTATTTTTGAACACTTGTGAATTTGGGACTGTCATTTCAGTTCCTTTCATTTTCTTATCTCACTCTTTTCATCAATTCAGTAGGACTTGTCTTGACCGGATATGATTGATTTCAATATGACTAGAACAAATTTTGATCTTGTCTCTTTTGGTTTGAATATAGTTGTATTTAAAGTTGTTTCAGATCTGGTTTGATGTGATATGAACTGAACTAATTTCAATAAGTAATACTCCCTCCATTTTATAAAAGGATTTCTATTTTGACTTTTGGAGAAATAAGGAGTATATTAGTAGTGAAAAACTATGATGTGATAGGTAGGTTAAGAATTGTAAAAATAATTTTTTAATAGAAATAAGAAAAGTTTTTTGGGACGAATGAAAAAAAAATTGTGGGACGAATAAAAAAAATTTGTGGGACGAAGAAAGTATTAAATGCAAAGAATACAGGAGAATGTTTATATTTTCATTTCATCTTACTATAACTAAAACTAAAGGGATAGATTCCTTTAAATACAAGGAGTGGGTACATTGCAGTGAAAGACCCATGGAGCAATTATCCATAAGTCATAGACGTAAATTACGGATTAAAACTAATGAAAAATTAGGCTAAAGTTAAATAACCTTAGACAAATTGATTTACTTTGTGGTATTTTGTCAGTCATGGCTTATGGATAGATTTTCTTAAATACGAGTGAATAGATTGTAGTGAAAGACCCATGAAGCAACCATCCTAAAGTTATGGTGCCAAATTAGAGGAAAGCAAGTCTCAAAGTTTTAACGGGGTTCTCATGATATTGGAATCTCGTGTCATGGGATGACCCGGAGTCGCTATGGTGCTCCATTCGTAAAATTGAATGTTCTTGCCTCTCTAACCCTCCGGTAAATCCCCCTACCCCGCCTCAATCCGAACACACCCCCTACACCCTTCAATTGCACCGCAAGTTAATTGTTAATTTTGACTTTAGATTCAATTTTGTGCTTGTGGAGAAACACATGGCATCTTATAACTTTGTCAATGACTCTGGGGACGGCCTCGTCTAATTACTCCTCGATATGTACAGTTTTGAATTAATGAAATGCTTAAAATTAGACACGGTCCCAAAGTTCATATTTAAAATGTGAATCTTCATGTATTTTTCATAGGTTTGCATGTAGATATTTTCGTTTTTGCATAAGGCCTATTTCTTTTATACTACAAATGCACTAAGGTTCATAAAATGAGCATATACCTTAGGTCGACGGAGGAATTTGCCTAAAAATTAAGTGTCAAGTGAGATTTGGTCACTTTTCCATATAAAGTTTGGATCGATGAAAAATAATATTTTGGGAGAAAATATCTCTTGTATTTTTGATAATCACAATATGAACAAGGGCTATGTATATGCAGGATCCCACATGATAAGAACTCTATATGGAAACAAACTACAAAGGAAAAAATACGGAAAGAAACAAAATCATAGAGGGAAACTAGCATGTACATAATAATAATAATAATAATAATAATAATAATAATAATAATAATAATAATAATAATAATAATAATAATAATAATAATAATAATAATAATAATAATATACCAAAAGATATTGTGAATCCTTTAAATCGGTACTATATTTGTCTGCACCTATATTTTTCATAGAAGGATGTGTTATATTTTGATATGCTAATAGAAAAATAAAATATACAAATAAAAAGTTGGAAAAAAACTATATATAACATATATACATATAAACGATTACTCAAACGGATGTCTATGCAGAGCAGATTGTAAAAGATTCATATGTATGATTACCAAATTTGTATGTGTTCACCCATTGAATGTCTTAAATCGGATACAGATAATAATCGCTTATGACATTTGCAAATATTTCCCGTGTATACAAATACGAATGATGCAGATGACAATTTAATTTTCGATTATCCATTTACAAATGTACGGTCACTCCGCTCAATAGGATGCATTATGTGATAAAGATTGTATTTGAAATTTAGGACCTTTTTATGATGTGGAAAATATAAAACTATGAAAGACTTCCTAAACCCCACCACATTAAGAGTGGAAGAAATACTGATTTTAACAAGAATACCCTCTCTAAGCCAGACAAAAGAATTTTATTTTATCTTCACAAAAATTAAAAAATGTAAACATGATAAGAATATTAAAAAGTTGTTAAATTCTTTTAAATGGGAGGGAAAGATAAAGAGTATACTTTAAAAAAATTATAAATAAAATATTATGTTAGAATAGTTTCTAATACGAGTACTAAATGGGCCTGTTTGGGAATAGCGTTAGCGTTTTAAAAAAGCTATCTACGAGCCGCGTTCAGCGTTTGCGTACACCATTAAAATTTATCCAAAACGGTAATGCTAATTTCAAACGCTATTCCCAAACAGACCCAATGTCTATATCTTAACATGATTAGCAAGAGATATATAAAACTTATCACTTTGAAACATATTGTCCACATTTTCAAATATTTGGTACTGATAACAGAGTATAATTGGTCAAATGCACCAACAAAATCCCCAATAAAAAAATAGAGAAATAACAAATGCCATCATACTTAGAGATACAATTCTGCTTCAAAAAAATGCTCCAAACAGAATAAGCAACACATCAAAAAGGGCTTCTGACATTTAGTTAGTTTCTTGAGACCTGAGAGACCCAAGCAAATACACAGTAAGTTCATGGTGTTGGCTTTTACAAAAGGGAAAAAAAGAAGAGGAAAAAAAGCCAAAGGCTAGCTTTTTGTTTGAGCTTTATTTCGACTTTTTCCCTTTAGGGTTTGGGATGCTTTTGAATGGGAGGAACGACACTCCATCCATGAAAGGTTGCAAAACTTGGGGGACTGCCACGCCGTCTTCTGTCTGGTAATTCTCAAGAATGCAGCACAGTGTCCTCTCGGTTGCGGTGAGAGTTGAGTTCAATAGATGGACATATTGTTTGGCTGACTGCTCGTTTCCCTGTTTTATATAAAAGCCATCGAGATGAGGACGAATGTTGAAAAATGTAACTTACCCACACTAACTATCACTCCCATACCTACCCAATATAATACTCATTCCAGTCTTTGGGGGGTGAGGGGTGGGGGTGACCCTCTTTCTAAGACTATTTTATCCTAAAACAACAATAAGAGGTCCCAAAAGTGGAGTTTTGAAAGGGTGGGCATATGCAACCCTTACCCCCAACCAAAAAGGGGAGAGGTTTTTAGAAGACTCTCGAGGGGGGGGGGGCAAGAATAGTATTGAAAAAGGGTTAGAACAATCAAATATTGAAGGATGAAGGGTAAAACAACTATAGAATAAAAAGCAAATAAAAGAAGATTAAAAAACATCTGGAAAGGCACTATTCAAATAACTAGTGTCCATGCTCATTTTTAAATTAAAAAACATGATTTACAAGGCCTAAGAAATTGAGATTAAATTAGAGTACACCTTAATGGATGTTTTTTAAACTCAATAAAATTGACTGCTTACGCTGGTTTGCGTGATTTGGTCAATTGTGTTTGCATAATAAAGACAGAGGAACTATTTAAGAGAAGAGTCTGTGTGAGAAAAACATTTCAAAGAAAAACAGGAGACCAGATCCTACCTTTTTCTGCCCATAACGAATTTCCAATTTTCTTGACTGGTAATCTGTGCAGTTCGAGCATGAAACAAGTTCTCTGTAGGTGCCGGAAGCAGGAAACCATCCCTCTAAGTCATACTTTTTAGCAGCAGCGTCATTCAATGCACCAGATACAATTGAAACAACCTGATACGGAATCTTAAGCTGCAACCAATAAAAATCCCAAGTAAATCAAATTTTGAATCATCATAGTTGACATTTAAATTAAAAATTTCAAGTGAAATAGGATAACATCAAGTACATATTTCCCAACGATCCCTGTCCCTAAGAATAAGAACCCTAAGAATAAGAATAGAAACAAACAACATGCAGTATTTCAGTGAATGTTCTTACCTGCTGGTAGAACTCCTCTGAGTTCTTGAGCATCTCCTCATGCATGTCCCAGGAGTCATTTCCATTCGGGCTAGTAATACAAAACTGCTCGACTTTTTCAAATTGATGAACACGAAAAATCCCAAGTGTGTCACGACCGTGAGAACCAGCTTCTTTACGGAAGCATGAGGAATATCCGGCATACCTAGCAAAGAGTACCAAAAGAAGGGGGGAAAAAGCTATTTGAATAGAGCAATGAAATATAATTTTAATGCTATCTGATTTCTTTACAACCCCTACCAGGCCCATGAAAAAGGTCGGTACCTTAATGGAAGATCTGCAGGATGAATCCAATCATCCATATGATAAGCACAAAGAGGCTGTTCAGCTGTTGCAATAAGATATTTATCCTCTCCCTCACCAGTTACCTATGAAAAGACAGTTCACTCAAATAATCAGATATTTCATCACATAAAAAATATTGAAGAGAAAACTACTGCATATTTGATAAATGGAAGTAAGAAGCAATCATATATTGAAACATTAAAAAAACTTACTTTGTAAAGTTCTTCATCAAATTGTGCTAGTTGAGCACATTTTCCCATGATATCTTGCCTCATAAAGAATGGAGTCTGTAATCGAGAAAATTTCCTCTTCCTCAGAAAACTAAGGGCAAAATTAATTAATGCTTGGTTTAGATCAACGCCAGCATCTTTTAGATAGTAGCCTCTGCCCCCAGCAACATTTGCTCCTAAAGAAGTTTAATTAAATTAGATTGGAAGAGAATGATAAAAGAAATACCCCTAAGTTACAAGGAAGACAATGAGCATTATTGGATGGAAGATTAAATTTAAATAGGCACCGGTAGCGCTAAAAACACAATGAAAATAAGCAGATACCCTCAAACGCATATTTCATTGCCCGACACAGTTCAGCAACAATTAATCTCAAGTTCATAGAAAACATGTAAACACCAATGGTACCAATAGTAAATACCCTTGTCCAGATCAGCAATTCCAAGAAGCTTGACGAGCTCAACGTGATTTTTGAGGCCCTGTTCAGCTCTCTTATCACCCCAACAACGAACGATAGCATTATTGTCCTGAAAATTACTCTAACATATAACCAGGGAAACTATTTTTAATAATGAAAATGGCAATAAAATACATAAATACTAACAAACCTCATTATCGCTCACTGGAACT